ATAAAATCTTGCGAAGTCTATCGGCGAGCGAAAGAGCCTTTGTCTCAAACGCTCTGGTAAATTGCGCGAGTTTATCGAAATTCATATATAATATCGATTGTAATCACGTATCGACTACAATACATATTGTAGTTATGCCAATACGCGGTTAATTAGATTATTAATTGAATATCTCGGATAATTATAACACAAATGAATCTGAGCGTCAGAAAAAGTTTTTAAAATCAATTGCTAAACGAGCAATTCATTCTTTTCCCGAACTTCTCTTCAACTTGAAAAAAGATGCGAATTAACGCGTTGATTTTTGCACGTCTGCGTGACGATCTCTCCTTCTTCGCCGAAGCATTTAAAATTGAGCTCTTTCAGAGTTGAGTACAGCTCGGTACAGCTATCAAACGGGAAAAAATGTCACACTTTTACGCTTGTTTAAGCTTTTCAAGATCCAAAAGAGAAATCAAAGAACTTCGGTGTACCCGACGTAAGCTTAAAAGTCACGTCTATTTCACGTCTGTGCAACGATCGTTAGAAACTAAATTTCCACCGACATAAAAACGAGACGATATTCATAAAGGAATCAGATCGAATAAATATTTATCTTGCTTAATTTCGAAGTGACATCGCTGTGATATAACATGGATGCTCTTTCTTAACTTAAATCGAATGCGAAAATATCGTAACTTTATTCGCGACGAGTATCTCTGGAAGCGGAACAACACGGATGGAAAAGTTTGCTTGGACGATATCGTGCAGTGTCGGTTAGGACCAATGATCTCTTTGGATCTCGCTTGGGCCATGTGACGCAAAGACGCCGTTAGGTGCACAACAGGAGTGTCATTTTTTTTCACTTCCCGCTGAGGTGGTGATCTTTAAATGGACCGTGTGGTCGGATCACGTTTTGCACACGTGTACGTGTTGGCGTTTGTGAAAACACCGGATCGGCTGGCGCAGGTCATCCACCGTCTGTCGCTGAGAGCCCTTTGTAGTGCTGAGTGCGACTAGTCAAACTGGAAGGAGGCATTCTCCGAACCGGCAACATTCCTCTTCGGCAGACGAGGATAATTTCGCACCTTGCACGGACAGCCGACGGTGAATGAAAAGAAATGGAGTGGTGGCACAAATAGTTTGGCACTGGATATTACAAGTCGCCGAGGTAAAAACCTCAGTTGCCTCAGTTCTAATGCTCCAAAATCGATATATCCATCGTGTATATTAAGGACAAATCATCATTGTTTTTGAAATGGATTGTTTATGATGGATTTGTCGATGGAGTTGTCATCAATGTACGAGCTGGAATCGAATTTTGTAACGCGCGATATAACCATTTGACACAAATCCGATTAGAACGCGACGTAATCAGAAATATTTTTCCCAAATGAGATGTTAACGATCGTGTGCCACCATTTACTTACTTTCATCTTCACTTTCTATCAATTTTCTGGTATCTCGGAAAGTTTACTCCTTTACGCTAACGGCTCTTTGTCACGGTTGTTATCTTCCCTATCGGCAATTTAGATAGAGAGATCCTGCGACAGGAGAGATAACGATTCTTCAAGCGATAGTGCCGACGGTGACATCGTATACCGGCGGAAGTGCCGGAAGTTCAACGACCTCGTTACCTCTAGTCCGTACTAAATAAACTTAAGGGGCATTTTCACACGACATATACATTATGACGTTTGTGCAGTTACAATGTTTGCAGTAATAATATTAATTTTCAACATCGCGCTCGTCTCGGAGCAATTAACATCAGCAACATCGTAATACCATATATCTTAAACTGGGAAATAATCTATCTTCCCAAACACTCCACCGACGATGAATCTTGGAAACGAGACAATCTATCTTCGCGAGAAATTTCGGCGCAACTCGACGACGGATGCGACGGACGTGTTTAACGATACCGTCGAATTGACAATTTAAAGGCTGATCTCGAGAAAAGAACCGTTTTCAGTTTGAAAAGCAAGGCGTTTTGCACCTGGAGTATAAGTGCAACCTTGGCTTAAACAGCCGGTCGAGGCGAGGAATTGGCCTGATCAACCGTCGCACCTGTCAAGATATGTAATTTAATTCCGTTCCAGTTCCATCGCGCGGTTGTTTTCGTTACGACACTGAAATGCCTAGCTATGAAAGTGTTCGCCGTATATCGAATGCCTCGAGCATGTTCCCGTTGATTCCGCCTATTTTCTTACGCGATAACGAGAACCGTACTCGATATCGGCATAAGAATTCGATTTCGATAACTTCGTGTCAAATGGACGCGAGAGGAGGACGGGAGAAGACTTTGATATCGCGAAATCCCATTTTAGTATTAGTATTCTACGAGTTTCCGATATCTATGAGCATAATAATACATTGATTTTCCATACGATACGATGTTGCAAGTCAAATCGAAATCGCATCGGATTCCGAGGACGAATTTCCGAGAGCCGGAGTGCGAGAACTGGAACGAGCGACGACTCGCCTCGGGGACGCGAGAATTAATTTGTGGCTGGGCCCGGACGCCCGTTCGCTCGCTCACTCGCTCGCTCGCCTAACTCACGGGCAACTATCGTGCGCGAGTATGCGCGAGTATGCGTTCGATGTGGCACAACTCTGGCAGAGCCTACTCGTATTAACGCCACCAGGATAGAATTCGCTAACTGTGAATCGTTTCGTACATATCTCCGCGAACTGCGAGGATCGATACGGTCGCCATGACGACGCGGATTCCTCTCTCTCTCTCACTCTCCTCTCTCTCTCTCTCTCTCTCTCTCTCTCTCTCTCTCTCTCTCTCTCTCTCTCTCTCTCTCTCTCTCTCTCTCTCTCTCTCTCTCTCTCTCTCTCTCCCCCTCCTTTTTTTCTCCCTCAACTGCCACTTTTCTACATTATTCGCTTTTTCGTCCCCTCGCGACTCTTTGTCTCCTCGCTTTTTGCCCGATTCCGTTTACACCGATGAATTTTTTTCCCTTCCGTGGGTAGTAATTATTGAGATTACGAGGGGAAGTGTAAGCTTTGGGAAAACAAAGAAAGCGCCGAGCGATCTAAAGCGGTTAGAAAGCGTTTCGTAAATCCGGACCAACCATCGCCAACCGAACGTTTCGCGAACGATTGCTTCCCCAAGTCCGCTATCTCAAGTTGGGTGCATTCGCGAGATAAGTAGAGTCGATTTTCTCGTGCAAATACGAGAAATCGCGCGACGATGCACCTGGCAGGAATAGCCCATTAATCCGTTTCCTCGGTAGCGATAATATATACATGTATATACCGCGAGGTATTCTATATGGCAGAATAATTTAAGCATCCACGTATCTACGAGAGTGTTACTTCTACGGGACCGTTATCCAGCTTACTAGTACCGATATTGCTCGCACTGCACAATCTTATTAACTTTGCGAGCCGTAAAACTCGCACGCCGACAATATACGAACGTGTGCATGATGTATTCAGAGATATTACCGCTCTCTCTCCGCCCCGACTTAATTAACCGTTTTCCTATATTAAATTAAATTCACCGAATCGTGCGCGCAACGCACACGATGGTTGAAACTAATGGTTCATCCAAGATTCAAACTGCCTTATGTGAGAACACTCGATTTCGGAGCAATCGGAATAACAAAAAATCGTCAATTATATATCGTGCCATTTTTGGAAACAATCTTATTCCTATATTTATTACTGATTCGACGAGATCTGATCGCCCTGATTACCGTGGGAGGAGTTACCGAAAAGCGATTTCTACTTGACGATCGTGAGGCAACGGGGGTGGAAATCGAGGGAAAGAAAGGGAACATCGTGATGAGACCAGGCATCGTTCAACGAGCTCAGCTCCGCTTCAAATGAGATCCAGTTCGTTTCCTCCGCCTTCCGTCAAACTTAGCCAATTGATCGCGAATTCATTCCGACGAGTATAAAAGTAATGAGAGACGGTGAGAATTCTTCGGCTTGTATGCGAATTAATCAGCGGAATTGGTAACACCGTGAAAAATTAGATAAACAAATGTAGATTAAACATGAGAGTATAAAAAAAATTTTATTTTATTCCATTAAATAGATAAGTAGAATTACAATAAATTAAAAGAAAATTAGAATTATAATGATTAGAATTATAATAAATTAAATTAGAATTATAATAATTAAAAGAAAATATTACTTTTTTAATATCTTATACTTTGAATAAGGAAGTTTAAAGTTCGATATAAAAGTCTTAATTTCCTCCACGGAGCAGCACGCAATTAAGATCATAAATGATTAAATTTTCCCGAGCTAGTGAACCTTATTTTCGATAATACGCGACGAGATTTTCTTCGGTCTGTCTAAATCTGTCAGTCTAAATGCATCAAAGAGTCTCGTCGTTCGTTAGTATAATAGGATGAAAAAATATGAGCTTCCCCCATGTTGTCGCGAACTGATAAAGAACGAGGAGACAATAGTTTCACGTTCACACAGATAGCAATCGTTCCGCGAAAAGAAAACGCATGGAACACGATCAAATTTCCTTTCAACTCCGACCAAATGGACCGTTTTCTTCTCGATCTCAACGACGCTCGTAATTGCTCACACATAGAAACCATCCTGTTGTATTACGACGATTCATTGATCAAACAGAGAAAAGAGATAAAGATGAATATGAGAAAATTGAGAATATTGATGATTCTAGTAGCATTATAATTCTAATAATTTAATTAATAATTTCGATTAAGTCTCAGTCCCTTTTTCTCTCTCCTTTTTAAGTAGATCCGGTGGATTAAAATTTCATATTCCAGAGAAGAAAAATCAAGTTACGTCGTTGTTTATAATACCGGTTTCATATTAGAATGTATAACATGACATTATGCATATTATATTACACAAACGACTTTTACTACTTTCTTGCTTTCGACAGAAAATATGACGTAATGCGATCCCAAGAGCGCAAACGACGGGAATAAAATGTAAATTTTCCACGCGCATACTCGAAAGGTTTAAGAAATTGTTCCCGCTTTCGCCGTATAAAACGCGAGCGGGGCAACGTCGCCATAGTCGCGCGACTCCGTTGTCCAATCTTGTAACGTTTCTCTAATAATTTATCTCGCGCCGTGACTCACGTGCTCGCCGTCCTTTTATTAAGCCGTAAATTAATTCTTTCAAATTGAGCTCTCCCATCGTAGACCGTGCTCCCATCGCAGCCCAGAGCCCAACCGGGATCGTAAAAATTTAAATGCAGCGGTAGGAAGTTGAGCCGCAGCTGCTCGAAAATGTGGGAGGCAGTGACTCACGAGAAATCCGAATCGGCATGCGACCGAGTGGTGGGAACTAAAACATCCGTAGATCGATGATTCGTCTCGAAAGAGAAACAGCGCTCGACTCAAGGGAACGCCATCGCACAAAGTAATTATATATTATGAAATACAAAGGAATCTATTTATAAATCTCACGATAATCTATCCGAAGCTGTTATTTAAAAAATGAGAACTTATGTTCCATATTCGTCTTCCTCTCTTTCATATTCTCTTTTCATATTCTCGCTGATTTAATTAATCGCGACCGCTTTTTACCTTATATATAATTATTTATTGTAATGTATTATTTTCACATTTGATTAGCTCCATTGTCCAACAGGTTGTATGCAATGAGTGCATACGGAATGACTAGCTGCATCGGAGCAAACACGCTGATCCGAATACGTTACGTGATTCACGCGTGAGGAGACTTCCATGAAACGTTCTTTAGGAAGACACGCTGATTCAGGAAGATTCTTGGAAAGCTATTCACTCCTCCGCGAGGAATTACTTATGAATCAACGTAGTTGCATCTCTCGTACAAATGGAGATTCCGAGCGTCATAGTGTCAGTTATAGCACCCCCGAGTTCGTCGAGTTACCGTAACATCCCCTCAGTGAAAATACTTAATTTACAAGAGAAGAAAGAATGTTTTTAAACACAGTTGTATGTTTCTATATCGTACATTTTAGAATGTATATTTTATATTTAAAAACCTCCTGTTTTCTTTCGTAAAATCTTCTACAAAATATATATATATATATATATATATATATATATATATATAATAGA